AATTGAATAACAGTTTTTTGGTTCTAAAGTATGGAATAAATGGACAAATGAGCCCAACAACAAATGTATTTAGCATTTTTAATATGCTATTTAAGTTATTCAACCATCAGATTGATGCAAAAGTGCTATTTCAATTATTTCATTAATTCCTGGTCATTTGTGTAGCTTCATTAGAAATGTGATATTAACATAGGGAATGCCTGCGCTTGCTGTAACTTTTGCATTGAGATGCTATTTTAGCTTTGGTGATGGGCTTTCACTTTTTTTCTGGAAAAAAAGTGAAAATAGTCTTCAGTCTTTTCCAGTGTCCCATTTTTGAAGCTAAAATTAACCCCAACTGGGCCAAACGCTTGAAGAAAAGCAGCTTGGTCGTCACTGTTTTTCACGACTGTCGCTTGTGCGTCAGATTTATGGGTGTACCAGAAACACAATACAAAAGTTTGTTTTGGAAATTGTATGTGTAAAATTTTTTTTTGACATTTTAAAATCCATAATATTAATAATTTAAAATTAACAAGCAAAAGCCCTGGTCGTAATTTTTTTTTTTTTTTTTTTTTTTTTTTCAAATTACAGCCTTATGAGTAAATTGTTTAGTCTCTAATCCAGTGTTCCTATGGAGGCATCAGAGGTTTATTGAAGAACATTAGTATCAGAGATAAAGCTGCGGACACATTCAAAGCAGGGTTAGGTCATAGCATTGTTTAATATGTCATAAGAAAATGGAAAGAGTATGACACAACTACAAACCTAGTAAAATTGGTTACCCACATAAACTGAACATTAACCAGGTTAGCATGTCAAGAGTCCCATGATAACTCTGGAGGAGCTGCAGAGATGCATAGCTCAGATGGGACAATTTGTTGCATTTCAAAATATAAAAAATATTTTTATCGAATCTAAATAAGAACCACATATTATTTTTCTTCCTCTTCATAATTATGCCCTCCTTTGTTTTTAGTCGGTAAAATAAAATCCCAATATCATACAATGAAGTTTGTGGACTGTAAGGTGATAAAATGAGACCCAGTTCAGAGTGGATCCCTTTTGAGATCCACTCTCCTCCTTGTTGTCTGTAACAACTGATGCTTCTTTCTGTCACTATTTTAAGCTCCCACAGACTGACTCCGTGTTCTGCGTCCTGTGGACTGGAAGTAGTTTAAAAGGGAACGTCTGATTCAGTTATTCAGCCCACTCATTATCATCTGAATTTGTTTTTCAGATTAAACCCAGCATTTATTTTTGCACTTTAAATGGTCAGGAGGTGGATTTCAAGTTGAAAAACTCTAAAAATGAAAGCTGGTACTACTACCTACTATCTATCTACTAAAATGGATTTGAGGGATGTGATGATGATTATCCTTTAAAAACATGAGCAAAAAAGTTATAATTCGGGCTTTGCCTCTAGCCAATTATTCCATCTTCTACATATTTTACACATCCCAGTTGTCCCAGTTTTATCAAAGAGCCTCCTGGCTGGCAGCATAAAAAGAATTATGAAGAGAAATAGTGAAAAAAAAAAAGAAAAAAAATGACTAAAGTGCACACATCTCTGCAGGGTCAGAAGACAAAGAAAATATGTAATGGGGAAAGAGAGAGAGGTTGCTTCTGAGTCTGAATGGCTCTTTGGTTATGAAGAGAGCTGAACAAAAACATAAATAAATAGAGAAAAACACGGTCACGTTTTCATCTCGGCGTCTGTTATGGCCCGAAGCCTCCTCGCGTCCCTCTTAACTCAAACAGTTGTCAGACCTCCAAGACTCTGCATCATAGCAATATTGAAAATGGAAGAGCTGGGACACTGAGCCAGCTGAAGCCGTCCCCTCTCTGTTCTGCTGGCTCACCCTTCTTCTCATACCTCCCTTTAATGAAGCATTCTCAGAAGAACAATGACTTTTTTTTACTGTCGCACACCGAGCCATGATGTAACATTTTCATGTGCAGACACAACTCTTCAGAGGACAGGGTTGTTATTATCAGAGAGGAGGAAGTGCCAGCAGGCTTTCGCTTTATTGTTGTTTTCATGTTCCTCTTGCTTTAATGATCAAATGCCCTCTGGTGGTTAAAATGAGTCATGTGCATTTTAAAACTCCATCTGTCCTCCAACAATTACTCCTCTGCTTTGCTCTGATTCTCTTGGGATCTGGTTGGTTTGGTGAGAAGCAAAACAGAAATGACTCATGCATTTCTGAAAATTACTCAGCAGGTTTATGCTCCTTAAAGCAGAGCAGCAGATCTTCTTGACAATACATGTTAAATAATAACCAATTAGGTTTTTGATTCTTTGGTAGTATCAACTCATTTAGATAAGCCTTTAATAATTTAAAAAGATGCTAATATGAAATCTTTCTTTCTCTGACCATTTTGCAGTGATTAAAATAAAAAGTTTAAATACATTACTGACGTTTTTCTGCACATAAGGCATTTTAACGAGGTCGACGTCTGAACTTTGACAGGGCCACTGAAAAACACAGATTCTTCCCCAATTTTCAGCCTTTCCACTGTAAATTTGTTCCTAAAATTCACTCAAGTTTTTGCTGTCAGATGGATTTCTTGACATTTTACTCCAGAATATTTTGATATACTGAGGAACTCATGGTTGGCTTAATAAATGGAAGATGCCTTCAGGTCCTGTGGCTGGAAAACAGGAATAAAATATAATTCCTCTGCAGCTACACTTGATAGATGGCATGAGATGGTTTTTGCTGATATGTTTGTTTATTTTCCAAAAGTTGCGCAGTGCATTATTATCCAACTTCACTTCCTTTCTCTCATTTCTCCAAGGGGCATTGTTCCAGAGCTCTTGTGAGTTATTTAGAAGGAACTTTGTAAACTTGAGCTGAGATGCCATATTTATTGCAAGAGAGAAAAGGTTTTTACTTTGCATTTTTTCCACATAAACCACACCTTGTCACTGTTTTTCTCTCTCTGCTTGTGTATGATCACTAATAAAAGTAGCAATTGTTTTATCATAAACTTTATCATGATAACTGGATAATCTTAAATAAAGCTCTTTCAGTTTTTTCAATTGTAACCATCTACAAGTAAAATTGAATAGACTTTTAATAACTTTTAATAACACACAAGAGGTAGGTCAATGTAATACACATCCATCTCACTCAAGGTGCAACACAGGATACAAAAACATGCCGCTAAGCACCCTGGGAAATATGGTAGATCATCCACTCCCAGCACACAATGTTTCTCAGCATTGTTCAGATTTATGGACATTTGCATTTGATGTCTTTCCCAGAAAACCTTTTGTTATCACACAGCGGTCTGCTGTCAGACCAGCTAAGTGGATAAACAGCTGCTGTCAGAGAGGTGATGATTATCGGCTAATCAATCAGCAGCAACTTTCTGTTACTTTCCCTCTTCAATCTTGAGAGAGGGGTTAAGGTTCACTCAGTTTGTCACGCACGGTTTTACCATTGAGGATTCATTTTTCTCTAATAAATACAGACCATGGAGTGTTTTTTTTTTGTGATCTTAAGGATACATTTAAAACAAAATTAATTTTTAAAATTATATGATTTGTAAAACACAAGCTGCTACTCCTTATTGTTTACATTGTTGATTTGTATTTTTGTATTTTTGGTGCTAGTTTTGTTTCTGCATACAAACAAGCAAAATGACTGCGTTCAGAGTCTGAATGAATGTCAAACATTTCTGATTCTTTTCAAATGTTTTGAAAACCATGATGTGCACTAGTTTGTATTCATAAAAAATACAAATAAAACAACATATTTGCGATTGTGACAAGGCAGAAAGTTAAACATTTTAACAAGTATTTTTGCAAGGGAATTTCTAATAAAGTGGTCCTTCAAAAATGCCATTGTTAAATTCAAACCATTTGTTTTATTTATTTTATTGCTTAACTGTATTGGTATTGCAAAAAAAATAAATAAATACCAATACAGTTTTTGTCTGGAGAATATTTAATATTTAATGCCTGGAAGTGGTTTTCAAGTAGTTTACTTTATAAAAGATACCTATAGAGTATAGAAATGGGTCATCTGAGCAGTTCTTCCACCTTTGTTTAAATATCAGACATAAAAGGAAACATTATTCTTTAGATGAACACTTAGCAGAATTCAGGGAAGTTCAACGAAAAGAAACCATTAATATTGTGAAATTATGTTTTGTTTTCTTAGCTGCCACAAAGCCCTGTCCTTTGGGAGAAGCTATTCATGTAATGGTCACAATCTGTTTTGGTCAATCAATACGTTTCCATGCAGCACAAAGAGTTTTATCTCCTTTTGTGACCCTGCAAGCGTATAGAGGGCTTAGGATGAATCATGTCAGGGGACATAGAGTAAGACCTTGTGGAAACGCTTTCTCATGCCAGGACAAAAGGATTCAGTCCTCATGTAACCAAAACTGTAAAATCAGAGACATAAAGGAACTTGAAATCCATCAATTAGCTTGGCCGCTGACACACCCATTAAAACAGAGCAAACCGGGCCAAGCAGTGAAACCAGAGCTCTCTCCAAAGTAGGCCATCAACTATTCATTCTGTTGTGGCGGCCAACACCTATCAGGTGTGATGCGGTGTGTACCGATTTGAGTCGGCTTTATGACCGCTCGTGTTTTACAGGAATCCCAGCTGACTGTAGCTGCTGCTTCGCAAGGGAGACGAGGAGGCAGAAAGAGTCAAACGACTCTTGGAAGCCATTACACAGATTGCTCCGAGGGACGGCTGGCGCCATGCATATTTAATGACTGTGTTCCAGTTTTCTGATAATTTATACGTGTTCAAGGAAAACCAACGACAAGCCATCAAATGGCTCACTATAGATGAAACAGATTTGTCAAAGTTTTTGAAATATTCATTGTATGACTTATTCATTTTCCTCATGCCTTATATATTTGAATTGTCAATAATGATGGCCACTGAGTCTATTTCATCAAAACAACCTGTGACATCGTTGCCTAAAGGTCACAAAACAAAAATTGATGACAAAGCTTTTTAACTTCACATTAAGAAATCAGAGCAGGTTGAGTAAAGCAGAAGAGTAATTTATTTACGTGTATAAAACAAGAAAATAATACACTTATTCTATGTGTTCATATACATGAAATTTTGTTTTTTATACTAAGGTTCCCTGAATTTGTTCACTTCTCTGTCTCCATGGTGCCTTCTGCATATTTATAGGATATCTCAGCTGCTATTCCATAAATAAATCACCAAGTAGTCCAGGTAACAGTTCAGGCTTGTCGAAAAAGTTAGTTTTTCCAACACATAGTGAGGATAAAAGGAAAAATACACTCTTTGTCTGTTCTAGGGATTTTACCAAAGATTATTTGTAAACTCAATTATGCATACCTCCCCATGTACATATGGGAAGGTATAATTGTATTATCCTTACAAATGTGGTACCATTTACCAGAGGAAAAAAACAGACTTTCAACAATATAATGCCAACAGGCATTGTTACAACAACAAAATAGTCTACCGGTTTAAATTTTCAGATATTCTTGTGTCAGGTATACTCAAAACCCTAGAACTTGAGGATGTATTTTCTTTTTACCTTGGTTGTACAGGCACATATAAAAACCAACACCATACAGTACAAATAGTTGTGTTAATTATTTTTAAAATTCATATATCCATTTGTAACGTATATTTGTTGCACAATGTAATACAAACCAACCCTTTTCTAAACTTTGAGGTCACTGTCCAGGGAAATGTAAAAAAAAATAATAATAATAAAAACCCTGTGGAAATTGCACACCCCTTAAAGATGAGTTGGAAAACAGTAACAAACCAAATGCTTGCATGAAATTATTCATAACAAAGAGATAAAGAGCTCTTAAAAATTTAACAGAGAGCTTATTATCCTAGATGCCATGAATCAGACAAATATCGCTTTGTTGCTCATAAAGAATAATGTTAATGAATTGAACAATAACTTGTAATGTTCACATGGTGTTCTGTGTTTTGTTTGAACTTATCCATGCCACACCCCTCATTCCCGTTATTCCCCACACCTGTGTTGCTCCCTGATTGTTTCCCTTCTTAAGCCCTTCTCAGTCACTACCAAGTCGCCAGATTATCGAACGCTTTCAGCTAGTAGTTTTCCAGCACTCCTGTCTCGCTCTCATCGTCTCTACCACGCTTTGTTCCACGGATCTACCCCTTTTGCCTTGCCCTTGTCGGACTATTGCTATTTGCCCTTCGGATCTCGACCCACGCCTGTCTCACTGACTCTGCTCTCGCCCACTCCCACGGATTCTGCTCTCAGTCCCACTGTGCATGACCCCCGCTCGTCTGACTAAGTATTCGGATCCGGATTTGGCCCTTCTGCTGTTTCACCCAGTAGTGCGCTGCCCAGTATCAGCGCTTCCCCTCTCCAGGCGCTTCCTCCGGCGCCCTGCGTCAGCACAGCATCTGCTGTCTCCTCGTCCCTCAGCCGATCACCGCGGTACCGGACCGCCAAGCCAGTGCTGCAGCTGACGATCCTGTGTGTCCGGCTTTAGCTGCTTTTTAATAAATATCTGAGTATTCTGCTCACTCCTGTGTCGTGGCTGAATTTCTGGGTCCCTCTAGTGAACCATTACATAACTTTAGCGTGTCCATCTTCAGAGATATCCATTCATCTTCATCTTCAGAGAGATGGATATTCATAATTTCATTCTCTTATTTATAAGTGCATTTATGTGATGCGCATGAATGTACTTTTGTCTTTAGCCTTTCAAACAGTCCACATAAAGCTGGTGAATGATGGTATGGCACCTTTTACGAGATGTTGTGAAATCATGGCTGTTTGATAGATCAGCTATTGAGGTTGAAGATGAGGTTGAAGATGTTTATGCTGTTCTTATTAACTTAACTGGCTACAAACTGAAAGAAACTGGTCCGACATTTGAAAAACTTGAAAATTGTTACTTGTCTGTTATCTGTTTCGTTAGCTTTCATTAGCTCAGTTTAGATTATATTAGCTTAGCTTAGTTTAGTTTAGTTGATCTAAGCTTAGACAGTAACTTCTGAGATTTATGCTTTATGTTTGAACGTATTGTCAAGTATTTTGCTGACAATACATTTTACACTACTGGGTAACCAGGAAACACTCCCCTTTTAAAAGCTAAGCTCTCTAAAGGTTCTTCTAAGGTTACATAGAGCAAAACCTACAGAAAACTTCAGGGAACATCCTCTAGGGGTTAATGTTTTTGTTATGGGTTATGGAACAATAAAGAATGTTCTTTGAATTCCAAAATTAGGGTGGGAATTGAAAATTAACCAAATGTCCTTGGAGGTTTCCCAAACATTGCCTTGTGAACTTGGTAGATCTTTAGATTTACGGCTTGTCGCTTTACAAGGTACAACTTTCTCTTTTGACATCATAACCACTTTTATTCTTCTTGGTATAGATGCAACAGAACTCTGACCCTTCCGTCTCAAAAGTTGCTACCAAACTTGAGTGCCAACAGTTTCCTGTTCCTAGCTAACAAAAGTGACACTGAGGTCTTGGTTTCCTGAATCCGATCTCCTCCTAGATTTCACGTGTTGTGTATTCAGAAATAGTATTCTGAATCCTTTGGCGCTAACAAAACGTAATTAAACCAAAAGTTGCCCTTCTATTATCTCAAACCAATCTATCAACCTCCTTTGACATCAGCATGGCATTTACAATCCAGATATCAGATATTCTCTGACTATTCTGTGTAAATGGTGAGATTTTTTTTTGTCCAAAAATCCATTTAACATTAATCAGCCATAACTATGTGATCATCAGTCAGGTCCAACTTAGTGTTAATTTAAGATAAACAAGTAGAAATTCAATATCTGTAGATTGTGGGGTTGAATTTCTAAACCATGGTTCTAATACTGTGATACTTGAACTACTAGTATTGCTTCTAACTTAGTGTAGTAGTGCACTTACTTAGGATTAGTATTTTATGAGTTTTTGGTACCTTAAGCTGTAATTTTTAGGAAGCTCAAGAAGTTTTGTGCAACCAGTTTTTTTCGCTTTGGGGGGCTGGCAATTTTCAATGAATCTCAATGTTCTTGTTCCAACATTAAGATTATTACTTTTTTTTCTACTTGCATTTTTCGTAATGTTATGGCTGTCCAGTGTAAGAAAACCAGCTCTCAGCCCGAAAGCCACCATGACCGTTTCCTAAAATATGGAACCATCCCTGAACAGTGTTCACCTGACATAGCGCGTGTAAAATTAGGTCAAAGAAGGCAACATTGAAGTTATGTCTCCAATGAGTTAACACTGAGCTCTAATTCTTCTTACATCTGCTGTAGTAGCTAAATATGGTGTTGTCTATCCAGCGGCGGAACTTGGACACGGCAGTGTAGACTCCAGGAAATTCAGCGTCAGCACATCCTCTTCCCCACGACACCACTCCATAGGCCCGCCCGTTACAGACAAGTGGGCCACCTGAGTCTCCCTAAAACAACAGCATAAAGGATCAGCAGGGGTTGTATATTACTAACTTGTTGATTTCTGTTGAGAATTTAAAGGAAAAATAACATTTCTCCACCTTCTCTTCATCAGCTCCCTGTTAAATCTAGAATATAATTTAAAATTCCTTGATAATTAAGCTGCATTGTATAGTAGAGATTTGATTGTTTCACATCTTGTTCCAACTGAACTCTTTGCTTTCAAACTGCAGGTTCACTGGTGGCTCCTATGATTTTTAAAGCCAGTGGATCCAGCTCCCGGTTTTAGTCAATAAGCCAGACAGACACATTGTCTACTTCAAAAGACCAGGTTTAAAACTTTCCTTTTTGATCAAACTTATACTCAGTCATTATCTCCTATTATTTCTGCCACTAACTTTATGTTCTCTGTGGTTTTTTTCTTGTCAGACAGGTTATATCTGACTCATTTCTGTCGCCTTCTTTGAGGGCTGAGCTGTTACTGCCAATAACTCAATATTCTCTCTTTAGATCATAAACTTGGAAACTTGTGCCTGTCTTTCTATGTTTAAACATTTCTCTCTCCTAAAGTAATTATTTACAATTTACTATTTAACACGTTTCCAGAAGGAAACATATTTATTTATTTATTGTTGGACACTTTTAGAGGAACAAGAGCAGTACAAAGACAGCATTGATTTTGACTTTTTCATCAAGACTGCAGAGAGCAATAACACCAGCATATGTAGCTTGTAAATGGAACGTGATTTCCCCCATGTGTCCTTTATTGGACAAAACTGAATTTTACTGACTGGGAAAAACAATAAAAACACTTAGTGTATTAAACAGTCTCTTTTTGAACAATGTACACAATAAATTAGAAACTTCTTTGACTGACCAACCAGAAATATGACCACACAGAGACCTCCACACTTACTGCTGACTTAATCCAATATTAAGATGTCTTTTTATTATTCCAAAATAACTGCTGTCACAAATATTAGCATCCCTAGCAATTTCTATAAAATAAGTGTAACAATTTTTGCATATGTCTTAGAGTTGATAAGTGTCTAGGAACATTTAATTAGTAGTTTACATTTAGTTTTTGTGTCAATATGGTATAAATTTCATGTGCTACATAGTTCAATTTAACTTAGCCATTCTTCAAAAAAGGAAGTACAAGAGAATATCCCTGATGTTTGTCCATCTTTATAAGTCGGGAATGTACCAGAGGATGTGTACTGGAGCTTTAATACAATGTATAGTGAAGACAGTGGTTAGGAAAGGGGGAAAATGATCCAAATCTTCCTGTTTGAGAATCATTTCTCCATACTAACCATCATTTATTATACATGCAAAGTAGTTTTTTGGGAAAAAATGCCAGAAAAACTTACTTCCTGTTCTACCATCACAAACGTAACAATGCAAGCCTAGAGAAATCCATTGAGAGTCCAGCTGGATGAGACTAATATTGAATTTTTTGGCAATATAAACAGTCTAAATACTGGTGGTGGATCTGTGATGATGTGGGCCTTTTTGTATCACAAAAATCTTTTGGGGCTTTTTACAAAGGTCTTTTGAGATCTTTTAATAAAAGTTTGATTGCTTATACAAGAAAACTGAAAGAAGGTAACAATATAGCCATATACTAACAAATAAAATGGTTTACTAGACACTATATCAACAGCATAAAAGAAAGTCTAGCCTTCTCTGCCTCTGTAAAATGTGGCCATTTAAATTAAGAATACTTTATACACTGAATAAAATAACAGAAGACCTCTTACCTGGCAGGCATCTTTTCCACCAATGTTGTAGCCGGCACAAAGCATTCTGTCAGTGATGCGGCCATTAAACGACTCAGTGCTGTTACATTTCTCTGCAGACACAATAGGAAGTGTGACAGTCCGAAGGGTGGCTGGAATCTGGCCCCCTGTGGGGCTGGTGTATCCCCATCCCGACACTCGACACATTTCGCCCTCCGCTATGGAGGCATCCTGCCTGGGCAGCAGAACGATGGACACGTAGTTGTTCAGGTAGATGGGTGCCCTTAGCTAGAAACAGAGTAGAGAGTGTTTTTTTTTATGATCAGATGAATTCAGGAGAAGATTATGCCAGATAATTTGCATTCTGTACCTTAATGAGCATGATGTCACTGTTGTTTGTCGTGCTGTTGTACTCAGGGTGGGTCACCAAAAAGTGGGGGAACACTTCCTGCTCTGTGCCTTCATAAATGGACAAAGAGTAGTCTCCTGCTACTACCACCATTTTGCTTATCCTGTGTGCAAAACAAGGTATACTCCATTAATGCCATGAGTTGTTCATGCATAACTTAAAAAGGTCCGCCCAAATACTATAGTTACAGTTGCAATTATGGTAAAAGAGAGAGAATGGTTTCTTTCAAATTTAAGGCAATAATAAAAATAATCTTGTCTTCATCAAGTCCTGAAATTGTTTAAATCAAACTTCAGGTGTACAAAAACACACATCAGATTCCAGACTGTCATAATTTGTAGCAAAAAAATAAAAGACAAATGGAAAAGCTTTGAGTAAAATCATTTCATACATCTTTGATTCAGTGTAATTTAGCTTGGAAAGAAACAGGCATGTGTTATAAATTAATAAGGAAGTGTAATTAGGCCAGTATTAAAATAATGTGAGTATACAGTGACAAAGGCTGCTTAAAAATGGAAAACATTCAAAAATATTTGACCGTAAATATTGACCTCTACAATCCTTCCACATAAGTAAATGTGGAAGGATTGTCAAAAAATATGACGGCAGCATTTTCAAAGTTGCATATGAATGACTGTAGAGGGAATGTTTTGTCAAAATTACATATTATAGGTAGAACAAACACCTCATGTTGATGGTGATGTAGGGGGCAATGATTTCTGATGGTTTCTGCTGTTTTAGATTTTGAGCACGAATTCTCATATAAACTGAAGCCTTAAAAACCAACTACTTGTACTTTCTTTGATTTGTTTCATAAAGAAAACATATTTTTCTTTCTTCAAGCTTTACTGACTCACTGCACAAAACAGCAATGTTACACTACTCAAACCTATTGACCTCACACTGGCAGCCTAGATCCAAAAATGAACCAGAACATGATTTCCCCCCTCACAGGTCTGTTGAATGCCACACCTGGCTGATGGAGAAGGGGAAATACTAAGCGCAGAAAATGTTATAAATGCCCATTACAGAATGATTGAGCTGTCTGCAGAGACGGTAGAAAGCTGCTGGGAATGCTGCAGGCTGACCTGAACCAGGTCAGGTACTCTTCATCTGTTTTTTTAAGCCACACCACAAAATGGCACACCAGGCAGTGAACAGAGACATAGTTATGCCCCTCAGTGTTGCATATTCTTTCACATTACAACTACAAATCTTTGTGGGATTGTAAGTGATTGATATCATGTCAACTAATTACTCCCATTAATTATTTTCCCCATGTCCTTCTATACCAGCCTGAGACTGGGTTTTGATGCAAAGAGAAATGGGTACAAATTTTCTTATTATGGATAAGAGAGCGAGTTTGGAAAATTCTAAAACATTCACAGTTTTTGGTGAAACTCTGCTCTTTGTTGACGAAAAGGGAAGAAGGCAACACAGATATCCGGGAACTCGGCAACACTTACAGCCGCTCACTGGTTGTCATTTAACAATAGGTACTGTACAAAGTATCAGCTAGCTGATGTAACAACATTATCTGGATTAAATGCCAAACACTGTGTGAATTGATTGCCTCCTTGCAGGCACAATTATTTGCTTGTAATCCATATAAAAGTGTGTTGTCTGCGAGCCTCGACGCCACTGTCGTGCGTGTGTCAGATTGCAGAAGCAGAGAGCTCCATTGTGTGACGGGTGTCATTTTTCATTTGCTTTATTTCAGCCCTGGCATTAATAGAACTTAGCATCTGATATGGCTGGAGAATCCTGGATCCAAGAAAGTAAAGCCGAGAACTTTTTGTGCCACAAGACTTCTCTGTTTATTACAACTTCCTTAAAAAAACAACAAGCTGAAGCTGGACCCTGAAGTGAGACTGTGACCTGGGATTTATTTCACCTCTTTATTGAGTTTGTGCTTTTGCAGGAGGTTATGTAACATCTATTCTCTGCAGAAACAAACCAGAAGAAGAAAACCAGCTCACCCAATGTTACAGTGTGCTGCTGTGATCACCCAGAATCTGTTAATCAGGAAGCCCCCGCAGAAGTGCTGGCGGCTCGTCGTCTGTAATGATACAATGTACCTGATGGAATGAGGAACCGGCGCGTAGCCTCCCACTATGCGTTCCTGTGCAAAGCCCTGACCTGTGACACACAGAGAGGTACAGAAGGGAATTAACTCTGACAGGAAAGAAACACAGAGCTGACACAGTTGTGCTTTCATTTGTCACTGGAAACACACAAATCTTCGCCCTGCGGATTCCTTTCACTCAGCAGATCGATGAAGGACGATCTCATCCCGGAGCTGCATTGATTCCCAGCAAGGATGAATCTCAGCGTCATTATCTGGTGTTTGTTTTGAGTAAGCCAAAGACACAACTTGTACTTCAGCTCCTACCAGTGCCTTGTGAAAATTCACATTTTGTCACATTACAACCAGAAACACTGATGTGTGTTATTTGGATTTTAGGTGGCAGAACAACACAAAGACATGACATATAAGTCCAGGAGTCGATTATTTGGTTTCAGTTAAAATAGATTTATGTAAATCTGAGAGAAACATAGTTATTGTTTAGCAATTATCAAGCAAACCCAACACTGAACCAAATGGAAAACAATACGAGATAAGGTTGCTTCCAACTGATCTACCTTTACACAATCATAGATATTATACAGTAGAGTATCTACAGTCAGAGCTGCCTGATCCTCTTACTGTAATTTCACTGAACACATTAATATCACCAACACAGTAAACATTTTATAGAATCTGCTCACAGTTGTGCTCAGTGACCAATACAAGTCGGTGGGAAAAATTGTCCAAGAGATATTTAATATATTTAGCACAGAAATTTTAAATTAAATGACTTTTTTAATGAAGTGGATGACAGAATAAACAAACAAAAATCAGCTGCATAACAGAAACAATCACAGTCACATATATGGTCCTGCATTTCTACAAAAGAGCAATGAATCTCAAAACTCCTTTTTCCAAAGCTAATCTATCATTGTATTTATTTTAAATCATGACATTTTAATCCTGAGTCCAGGCCTCAAAAATTACAAGATGTAAGATGTAATTTAGGATTTTATTTGATTCACAATTTAACGAGATTAGCAGTTATTTTTTCCAAGACGAACTAAAATATGACTTTAATTGCATTTATTTAAATAAGGATTATTCTAAAAAGATTTCCATCCATCCAGCCATCAAACCATCCATCTATCCACAGTGTGGTGGAATAATCTCCTTCTTAATCCTTAGAGTTAATGAACAAACACAGAGCTGTAGCTCACTGCGGCTGAAAGAAATTGATCAGAAGCTATTATTAGCAGCACTGCTGCATGTTGAGACCAACATGGAGACCTCACACAGCGGATAACTATAGACTGGAAGTTAGAGAGCATTATATAAAACGTTGGACCCTTACCTCTGGTATTTGATTTTAGGAAAACCACCAGTGAACAAGAAGAAAATTGATGTTTTAATACCAGTTTTAACAACTTCTTTCACTTTGTAGGTTAAAACCCAGAGATACCCCATTTTACACCGGCTCTCGTTCCCAGGTATGTTTTAAGAGTGACAAATTGTCTTGGCACAAATCAGGGCGTCAGCCTCAAATACTCATTTGTTATTGTTCTCGTGAGCTCTTGTCTATTGTTGCATAGGTTTCAAGTTATTTTTGTGAACAAGCTCACTGTCTCTCACCTTTACTTTTTGGAAATCTCCTCATTTAAAAAAGGACATATTTTTTTACTTTATAACCTTCAAAGATTATATTATGGGATCATTACCACCCATAGTATAAAGTTTTACATTCATTAATTTGTTTTTAAAAATATTCAACAAAGTAACGTTTCTAATTGCCTTTTCTGAAATCTCCCAAACTTTTTTATTTCAAGAAGAAATTTCTAACCTCCATTTCCAGCTGTGTTATTACTCTGCTTGTGATACGATGCTCGATCGTACTCTGATTTAAAAGCCTCTGAGTCACACTTTTGCTCTCAGTGGAGCATCAAAGCTGCTAATCTCAAAATGTGCTAAAAGGGATGCTTTCAAAAATTCATCAGGGACACCAGCAATACATTAGGTACACATCCATGCACACTCATTTCAAGAACATGATTATGTTGAATAAACTCAGACTGTTAAGTTGCAGCAACATCTCTTTCCTCCCAATCTAATGTCACTTAAAGCCATTTGATTTTAATGTATTAACTCAAGTTAAAGAAGTGTACTTACAGTTCACAGCCAGGACTTTCAGCAATATACAGAGCAATACAGATGCCACGTTCATGATGATACAAAAGAAAGAGCAGTCTTCCCGCAGCAAGAGGCTTAATCTGTGTGATACCTGTCTAATTTAAGGGGAAGGCATCTCACCTGCACTCTCAGGTTTCCAATAGTTTCTATTTCCGTTTCCATGGTCACGTCCTTCTCAGGCCAATATATAATTGAAATTGCTCTTTGGTCTCACTGCTTCCATGACCTAATCATGCCATAGGTGTTTGTTGTTGTACAGTTTTACTGCTGGTTCTTTTCCTGTCATGTAAAATGTCACACAGGGACCATAAGCCTGAAAGTCGCAGCTATTTGTTAACTTTAATGTGTCATTTGTCAACTTCTCTGGTGTCGCATGTTTGACATGCTGTGTCCAAACTGGTGGCTGTAGCTTTTAATACGGATCAAATGTGCTGCTGTCTTGTTAAATGAAAGGAGAAAGAGGAAGGCTCTCTGTTGCTGTTCATCACTGTCCAGGCTCCTCTCACTGATTTCCCCAGGAAGGATTACAATAAGGGTCTTGGCAGCTAAAAGCTGTAGGATCAGGCCGGGTCAAGGCAGCATGTCTGGAACCGGCCGTCATTAAAAATGGAGCAGGTTTCATCTCATCTGCCGTCCCTCTGAGGAGTTCCTGACCTCAGACGGGTAATAGCCCTCCAAGCTGCCTTTGCTTGTGCTGAGAGATGCAGCCGAGGTGTCTGTCATCCCCCTGAAAGCAGAACTCTGTCTTTTTTTCTCCACATGAACCTCTCCTCAGCTCAGGTGCTGCCATTACTGCACCAGGGTGCCTCCAAATCAGTTCAGTTTGTTTGTGATGCTCAAATTTATAATCAAAGTGATATCAAAGCACTTTACAAGTCAAATGGATCCAATTAATTCCAAATATGTGCAATCAAGTCATGTCGTAATTGTTTCTGTCCATCTTTTGTCTTTCAAAAATCTGAGATTAAAAGACAAAGACATCCAGCAACCCTTCGTTCGGTTTCTGGGTATGACATCCCCAATGTGGATCTCTAGTTGGTTTTTTTGAGTGAAACCTTTGTGATTAGGAGCTTTTTTTTTTTTTTTTTTTTTTTTTTCAAACTTTTGTTTGATCATATAAAAAAAACCCATTAAGATTAAAACCTCTTTCACAAGGATGACCTGGCTTAGAAAGGCAGCAGCACAAAAGGCAAATAAACAGAAAAAACAAAAGTTTACATTAGAACTATATATTTATGGCAACAATCTGCCAATGACGGGCAGTAAATAAATTAAAAAATGGTGGCAATTTAAGTTTTGAAACACATGCACTGTAGACATGATATTTGTTGTTGTTTTTTTAATTTTTTGAAAAGTGTTCAATGAAATCAGTTCTGACAGTTTCTGTTCAGCTTGCAAGGCGTTCCAAGCAGATGGGGTACAAAAACTAAAAGCTTTCTTTCCCTTTTCAGTTCGCACACGAGGAACATAGAGATACAAACGGTCCTTACGTAAGGCGTAACTACAGTCTGTTCTCCAAATGATAGTGCATAAATAATTAGGTGAAAGCCAATCAAACACTTGTCCATTGTTAACAAACATGTAGTACTGCATGGGTACCTCTAAACTTTTTGGTTAGGCTGTCTTTTAGCTTAATTCCAGTTTTCTCCCATTTAATTCCTGTTTTGTGAAATTAGGTAAATTTAGTTTTTATTTTCTTTAAGTTATTTTGCTTGTTGTGGTGTCATGAGCTCTTCCTGAAGCTAAATGCCTGTTTGTACAGAAGAAAGCTAAAATATAGCAAAAAAAAATAAATTTAAACATAATAAAATGGAGTCTATAATCAAGATCATATCACTGAAAAATTAATTTAATCTCTATACAGTGATTTGGCAGATGGTCTGATACTGTTTTTAATCTGTGGAAAAATTGGTTTCAATTTTAACAAATAAATTATTTGCACGTGTAATTTTAGCATTACCTGATACAAGAACCAATAGAGTTCACTCAGTACATTTCACAGAAGTAACAAAAGCATTTTATACATATGTATAGTTTAAAAGAAGAGAACACCTGTGTGCATTGCTTAGTTTAAAGGAAGAATAAGGTGACAAAATAACCAGGTGTCCTTTCAGTTATCTGTAGCTCAGGTTCTTAAACAAAGTTACTCTCACACCAGTATCCCATTACTGTGGATCTGCCTTCCATTTCTATGGCATACAAAGATACAGGACTTCAGTAAGCAATTTCCCAGCAATGCCTTTCTTTGATGAAACTGTAGCACATGCAGTTTCAGAAAATTACGTGGCATGACTGTCAGAACGTAGAGACACCACCAGACACCACCAGATGTTAGCACCATTTCTATTTTTATCCAATTGTTTTTTGTTTTTTTTTTTAGCAGGAAGTCCCTTGAGACAAAATCTCTTTTTTGAAGGAAACCCAATATGTTTATGGGAAAGCTTTGTAAATACTGCAGCAATGACCTGATAGTAATGTTACTTCATTTAATGCAAAGCTGTCCAGACTCTTTGCACAGCAGATGTTTAGGAAATCATTAAGTTTGAAAAAGATAAAAAAATAAAAATAAAAAAAAGACAGTGATGTCATGGTAAAAGTAATATAACTTGTGCTAATGAAAAGCTGTAAATGATTTTTATGCATCGTTCAGAAAGGGAATTTATCATAAGCATATTTGACACATATGACAAATATGATGATTTACACAATCTTTATTTCCTCATATTTAGGACCAGATAACATGCCACCTAGCGCAGGCAGAGGATGAAAAAAGTGACAGCAGCTTCACTGATATAAAAAAAAAGTTAATCAACATGAAAATAAACATTTCCTTCTGATCAAACTTCTTAACGGCAAAGAAAATGGTAATTATATTTCCAAGTCAGAAAATGTGGAAACAGTATGAACATTTTGAAATAAAATAATAAATATAACACAATGCATTGACTCAACTAAAGGTTTGTACCGTATTTTCCGCACTATAAGGCGCACCGGAGCATAGAATAGACGCAACAGTAGAGGTTGAAGTTACGTTATGCATCCACTAGATGGAGCTGCACTAAAGTGAAAATCAACAAAACAGTCCGACTCCGGTCAGCGAGGAGAGCCTTCCACGACTGGGCTGGGGCGTGGCCGGACGATGCTCCGTTCACGCACAGCATGTTCGTGACCTGCAGACGACCTGATTCTAGACAGTCGGTAGGTAGATAGGTCAGTCAAACTTTATTAATAAACCAGCGTTCTGACAACTATCCCAGCATGCACCGCGCGCTTCTTCTTCTACGGGCGAAAATGAAGTCGGTGGCTACTTACGTTGCTAGACCTGTTGTGGCTCAATATCGGTCCATATATAAGGCGCACCGGATTATAAGGCGCACTGCTGGCTTTTGAGGAAATTGAAGGCCTTTAGGTGTGCCTTATAGTGCGGAAAATACGGTAGTTTTATGGGCGAGACGTATTTATTTTCTTTGCAATGTTCACAATGTTTGTGGTATTTTTATCAACAAGCTGTAATTGGTACAATAGTGTTACTGAAATTAATTATAAGTATTTTGACTGTGGTAAATTCAAATGCTGATTTACAATAATATTTATAAAACCAGAGGTAAAACATAACAATAGATAATAATAATGGCAGGTTGTAATGAGCTGCTGTTCCATATTGCCAAACAGGTTTTTGCACAGACGGGAGTGATTTAAATTCATATTTTGTGCATTTCCAGCAAAGCCACTGGAAATTTGAGTTATTTTCTTCCAATAAACAAAAGTCTAATATTTTATCTTGCCTGTAAACTGGTTAGGATCACCGAAGATTGAGGCGTTTCCAACCTAAATACTGCTGGACTAAAAAACTTGAGCCTACAAAACAGAACAACACCTTATCTTTGTCATGTAGTAGGTCAGAGCGTGAGATGGTCAGAGGACACAAAACGATGGAAAGATAAATTTAACAAAAGATTTGTATGGGGATACAGTTACACTTAAAAAGCCAGGAGGAGAACACTGGTCTCACCAGAAGCACAGAGGGGTTCAAGCTTTTCACCTTACGGTAAGCGGAAGATAATTCAATTAAGCTCAACTCTTAACCATCACTGATCTGACACTGATTTACAATTCATATTTAATTTATGTAAATTTGCAAAGAATGCACCTGTCATATTGAGCCAGATGAGATTCAGACTGTTAAAACTGTTTTATATGTTTGTTTAATCATGTTGAAATGACCATAGATGCTCCAATATGTATTGTAATAAAGCTGCAGAAATACATGCTTCTCTATTACAGATTATTTAAGGCCAACAATGTCTCCTCAACAAATTGCAACAGTGCTGTTTATTCTGTCTTCAAAAGTATGCTCACGTAAGTTCTTTATTATATTTTAAAAATATAATCCTAACTAAAATCTTTGAACATTTTAAACAAATACATCACCTAAGCTGGTGAACGCATTCCTGTGTGTAAACGTAATTGTGTTGCATGTTATCTTGTTTACAGTTAAGCCCTAAAAAGATTACGTCTTAGGTGCAAAGTAACCTATTCACTTGAACAACACATTTCTTCTTACTTCTTAATATGCAATGAAAAAAGATTTAACTGTAAAAGGCTAAAGATTAGGGTGACGTCAAGGAGGAGTTCCCATTTTAAAGACTTGGACATTACCAAAGCTAATATGTAAATACGAGTGGAAACTTGCAAAAGAAGAGTTTGATTATTGTAATGGGAAAAAAAAAATTCACCACCAGGGTATAAGTAATTCAGGGCTCAAGTAAGTATGATGCGCATATGTGTGTGCACCATATTCACACACGCATACGGTGCGCTTAAACCTGTTCTGGTCTAATAACTTTCCCTGTAAAGACCAATAGTCAGGGCCACATTCAGAAGGATGTGGCCCCTGGGTCTGGGTGGGCCCGGTTTTGGTGCCCCACCAGCACAAGATTATGTTACATGCGCTAATATATATAGCTGAACACCAACTTCAGGGGTTTTAGGCCTTGTCTACATGAAATATATTTTCATATATGAAATGTAACTTTGCAGTCAGACTTTATAAAAAGTTGCAAATAAATATGGCATCATTTCTAGAAATATTTTCATGCATACAGACAAAAAAATCACTGAAATATGCAAAAGAAGATGTGGAGCTTTTATAAAAAGTCCATTGTTCTTCCATCTGTTAGAGTTGAAAGTCAGGTTGGAGGTGTGGCTGTTTTTTAATATATATTTCTCAGGGTTTTCTCCACAGTTCAAAACATGCTTATGATGACTGTGCCTCTGTCTCCTGCATCAGTAAGCCTATATGTGAACAGCCACCTGATAGGCTGAATAGGAGCCCAACCCTGCTCCTATGCTGCTCCTATGATAGAGCATCATTTTTTAAGCGTATGGGTTGAGATTTGGTCTAGGTATTGAATTAAATTTGCGCACACCTACCAAACTTTTTTTTTCTTTCTATTAAACGTTACAAGTGCCAAAACCTAAATACCCTCCTGCTCACTGCTGTGAACAGAAAAGCTTGATGCAAGGATCATCGGGGGTCAGGAGGTCCAACCGTACTCGATCAAATACCAGGCCTCCCTGCAGACTGAGAAAGGGGAGCACTATTGTGGAGGAACACTGGTGGACAAAGAGTGGGTGGTGTCTGCTGCCCACTGCTGGAGACCGTAAGAACTGAAATTAAAGAGATGTTTGATTTAAATTGCATTTAATCTGTTTCATTTTCATTTTATTTTTTATTTCATTTACTCAGTAAATAGTTCATTAAAGAGATCATGAATGAAAAGCATAAAAAAGTTTACATTTACATCTGCCCCCTATTCACATAAATAGAAAAAATTGCTTGAATAGCTTATCAATTCATAAGACTGTTACACGGACTAATAAGACTAATACAAAACATCAGCTTATTTAATACCACATTGCTTCATCATAACGATTTTCAAATTTCAATTTAGTTCTTTTTATCTCACTCTCAATATTGTTTGATAAACTGACACATTTTTAATACCACTTCCTCCTAAATATTCAAAACAGATTTTTACAAATTTGTTTTTTGTAAATCTGTTCTGATTATTGTTTGGTAATTTTTTTACATGTAATTTATACATATACTTTAAAATGTTCTACTTAATTCATTAAGTTTCAATATGTTTAACTGTATAAATATTAGGTTTACGTAATCTCTGTGTCCACTTCCACTTTTGACTCTAAAACAGCTCTCTCCTGTGAAAGAAAAATCATATTTATGAATGTTTTACAACTACTACCCCAGACTTCCACACAAAATGTCAGGAACAATCATGTCTGACAAAAAGGCCTTTCTGTTTAGTAATTCCTTCACCCTATTTTAAACAGCAATAGCTTTGAATATTCTGATAATTGGATAATCGTTGCTCTTTGAATGGGACTGTTTGTTTTTGACTCCTAGGAGCCACTTGATGATTGTGGTGTTGAGTGAACACAACCTGCGTGAAACAGAGGGATTTGAACAGAACTTTGGTGTCTCAAAAATATATGTGCACAGCTACAACTACAAGACATTCAACAATGACATCATGCTTATTAAGGTTTGCAGACGGGGAGCGGTGGTGAAATAATAAATACCATGTAATAGAATTGACAAGGACTATTTGCTCATCATTTCACTGGTTTGTGTTACAGCTTGATAGGCCAGCAGTGCTGAACGCCTACGTCCAGCCAGTCAGGCTGCCTGATGAAAACACCCCCCCTTTAAGAGGGAATCTTTGCACTGTGAGTGGGTGGGGTGTGACACAGGTTTATAGTTACGCGCTGTCTCCGGTGCTCCGAGCTGTGGACGTGACAGAAATATCGCTCTGCTACTATTACTACTGGGGCAGGATCACTGAGAACATGATGTGTGCTGGATCTCCATATGGTGGCAAAGATTCCTGCCAGGTACAAAAAAAAAGTTATTCTTCAAGTGTATATGTCATTATGATCAACTTTTATTTCAGGTCTGACTAAGTAAGATAAATTCATCATCCTGTGCTTGGTCATCCACAGGGAGATTCTGGGGGTCCACTTGTCTGCAATGGCATCTTTGAGGGGATTGTCTCCTGGGGCATCAGTTGTGCAAATCCATACTTCCCTGGTGTCTACACCAAAGTGAGGAACTATGTGCCATGGATCAGCTATATCATGAATTCTGATTAAACATTTAGCTTTAATCTTAATAACATCAAAACTTGTAACGCATAATTTTGCCTTCATATCTGCATGGTACTATAAATAATTTTTAATATAGCATAATATTAAATCATTGTGTAATGTTCATGTATTCATTTCTCCCATGCTTCATATAAAAGTCTTTCTTGCTTTTGTGGTTATTTGGATTAAATATTATTGCATTAGAATAAACTGAAAAACTACTTTTCTGAATGTCAAATGAATACAACTGAATTATTTAGGTGGTCACAATTAAGTAGTAATTTATTTTGTTAAGAGATTTCTAACATATTCCTAAATAAAAGCATTTTTATTGGATCTTGTTTCACTTAATAAAGAACAGCATTTTTATTTTAATAGTTATTGGATCAAGATAAACTGCATAGTTGGCTAAAGGTCTAAATGAGCTCACTCAATTTTTTTTTTCCCCACAAGCCATTTCATGTATGAATCATTATATATCAGTTGATTGTCTTGAAGATGTATATTTCAAAGACTGTTGACATGTCTACTTAACTGTATGGCATGCTTGAAAATGTTCTGACAAATAAATACATATTGTTATATACCAAGTGAAAATGGTAAAGTAATTAACAAAGTATGGCTGTTTAATTATGCAGTGATTTTTTTCTCATGATCTCACCATTTCCTGTTTTGCTCTGTTTGGATTACCAGGACTATTTCTGTTTGGTAGTTCCAGAAGTTTGCAAACATTTCCATAGTAATTGGTGCTTTTTAACAATTAAAACCTTGGACCAGGTTGAGTGCAGCTTCAGAAGACCACATCACAGTGCCGCTGTTGTCAGCTAAAAATAAGAAAGTAAGGCTATAATTCACACATATTAATCAAAGTGAGACTATCAATTTCAGTTGTAAAATTCAACATAAAAGCATGGAACCATCCTGTCTTAATTCAACAGTTCAGCTGCTTGTGGGTTAAATGTATAAATCACAGTGTAACAGTTTTTGAATGTATATTTGCAAAAGTGTAGTGCCCTGTATGACATAGCTCAAATAATGTCAAACAAGTTTCTTTTAGATGAGAATGAGTTTACTGTACTCAAGTAGCCTCTACAATCCAACAAAAACAACAGACACCTTCAGAATACGGTGGGGAAAAAAATATTCGCGTAATATTTTTGTAGCCAACAAATTTGAAATAATGTGTGATTTTTATATCAATATGAAATAAAAACTCTGTGATATGATTCACACACTTGTTGAACCTAAGTAATAAAGTAACCAGTGAACGCATAAAAGCAGATCGTCAACACCATTTTTTGAGTAGCTGTCTTGATTACTAAGTAAGATTAAGATTGAATTGTCAAAACTTATATACGAAATGTGATATTTGGGTTTTCTGTTTTATACAGCATTTTATTGGTCTCTCTAGTTAAGGTAGACACACTCCTGCAGTTTGTCTTTTCCACCAGTTAACTGTTTTTCAAAATAAATAATTCCTGCTGTTGCACTTTTTCAACGCCAGATGTCACTAAAAATAACGCTTAAAATATTAACTTCTGTGGCGCATGCGTGGATGGTGTTGTTTTTGTTGCGCTAACAGTCCGCTACCTTGGAACAGTAAAACCGGGACTGAGGTTCACAGAAAGGGCTATTTGAGCCTCCTTTTCTGGGTTCATCATGTCTGTGAAACACGCCATTAGCCGAGGGCTGGAGCTCGGCCGGTCCTTTCTTCAGATTGGTCTCCTTAAATCAGGCGGCCGAGTCGCAGCAAAGCTCCGAGCTGACCGTTTCCGTGTAGGCCCGTCGGTCCGCACCGTTCAGCCTCAGGCTTTCCTGCCGGCCCGGTACCGCTATTACCGCACCTCTCTGAAGGGTCTGGCGGCTCAGCTTCAGTCCGCCGGTTTTAGAAGGAGGTTTACCGGCGCGTCGCCTCGGAACAGGGCCGTGTTTCTGGCTTTTGGCCTCGGTGTGGGGCTTATCGAGCAGCAGCTGGAGGACGACAGACAGAGCGCTGCAACATGTCAAGAAATACAGGTATGGTGACCTAAAGTTAGATTCTGATTCAGTAGTTCGATTTCAAAGCCTTCACGCAATCTTGACTGCTTTTGAAAATTCATACTTGGTTTGGTCAGACCTCAATAGAATTATTATGCATTTCCCACATTCAGTATATTTTATTTTTAACCAAAGGACAAATAAATGTTGTGGCCAGGAATGATCTCGTGTAGCAGTCAGTCTAGCAACAAATCTGAAGAACCTCTGACTGAAGACTGTTGCTGTGAGAAGGCTATGAATTTCATACCAATAGGACAATATTTGGGGAAAATAGATAGGGCATGCAGATATTGGCAAGCTAATAATTTGCTTTGCCAAAAAAATGCATCCACCTCCAAACTTGAAGAAAAAAAAAGCTGAGTGAAATAACTTTTTCTACATATTCACATTTGTTCTATGAACTGCTGGGATGAGTTTCTACTGGTAAAGGGTTCATATCAATAGGACTTGGGATGCAGATATTGACAGGCTAATAGTTTATATTACCAAATAATGCATCTCCCTGCTAGCTTGGAAAAATAAAGAGTTAAGAGTGAAATAACATTTTTTTACATAATCACAGTTGTTCTATGAACTGCTGGTATGAGTTTCATATCAATAGGATACTATTTGGGGAAAGTACACAGGGCATGCAGATATTGGCAGGCACAAAATTCCTATTGCCAAAAAATGCATCCCCCTCATAGCTTGAAGAAACAAAGAGCTAAGAGTGAAATAACATTTTCTACATAACCACATTTGTTCTATGAACTGCTGGTTTAATTTAGACATGGTTTGCCCAATATAAAGTGAAAACGATCCAAGTTAGTTAGAAATATCTTGTAATCTGTTCTTCCTCCCAATGTGCAGGCTGTGTTTAAGAAGAAAAAAATCCAGAGCACACTGAGACCTTTCACCTCTGGATTCAAACTGGAGGACTACGTTATAGGGAACCAGATCGGTAAAGGCTCCAATGCGGCCGTGTATGAGGCTGCAGCTCAGTTTTCTCACCCTAAGGAGACAGAGAGAGACTCGACACTGGTGGAACTAAAGGACAATGAAGAGGAAGTCCAGAACGTGCGATCTCCGTCATGCTGCTCCTTAAGAAACTTCCCCTTGGCTATCAAAATGTTGTGGAACTTTGGGGTGAGTAATTTGCAGCAAATGTTGTTATATTTCTCACTGTTTATTCTATGTCACATGCTGTTCGCATTTTAATTATGTAAAGCACTTTGAAATGCTTTGATGCTGAAATGTGCTATACAAATACAATTTGATTGATTGATTGAATAAAAGCTTTAAAAAAATAGCTCAAATTATTAGAGGTGCTGTCTGAATCAATTGGAAATGCTCAAAAATAGATTTTATTCAGTTTAATTTTTTAGCAAAATTATATTTTTGATTATTATTTTATTATTATTATTTAAGAAAAAGCTAGGCAGCTATGCTAGCCTAATACGACTAATTTAGATTACAGAATTTTATGCACAAACCTATTTTTGTTTAAATTTAAACTGATGGAACTTTCTAATTTTTGGGTGTTTTTTGTACACAGGCTGGATCTTCAAGTGAGGCGATATTAAAATCTATGTCGCAAGAACTTGTCCCATCTGGTCCTCTGGCCTTAAAACAGGAAAAAGAGCAGATTACCCTGGATGGGTAAATATTATGTGTTCGGATTCTTGTAATCCTGTCCTGCTGTTCAGATCAAAGAACTACAAACATGCTGATGAATCCTTCTGGTCTCTCTGTAATGCAGACGTTTCGGAGTGCTTCCCAGAAGAGTTTCAGCTCACCCAAACGTGATCAGAGTGTATCGGGCTTTCACCGCGGACGTGCCGCTGCTACCAGGTGCGCAGGAGGAGTATCCAGATGTGCTGCCAGCCAGGCTCAACCCAGCGGGCCTCGGAAACAATCGCACTCTTTTCCTGGTCATGAAAAAGTATGGCTTAAAAATGTTAAATATGACTTGCCATATTTAATCTAAAACATCCCACCGTATTATCAGGTTTAACACATGCAGTGCTTCATTAAGCTCCTGTTGTTTTTGTTTTCTAGCTATCCCTGCACACTGCGGCAGTACCTGCAGGTTTCCACACCCAACCGCAGGCAGGGCTCTCTGATGGTGCTGCAGCTCCTGGAGGGGGTGGACCATCTGTGCAGGCAGGGTGTTGCTCACAGGGATCTGAAGTCTGACAACATACTGGTAGAGTTTGACTCAGGTCAGATGTAAAAACACACACAAACATAAAAAAAAACATGTTAATCATGTTTCTATCAGATTTTATTTAATATTTTGGCCCTCTTTGCTTTATTTTTCTTGAAGGTGGCTGCCCCCGTTTGGTAATTACTGACTTCGGCTGCTGCCTGACTCAGAATGACTCCAGCTTACAGCTTCCATTTAACAGCATATGGGTCAGCAGAGGAGGAAACGCTTCACTCATGGCTCCTGAGGTGAGTCTAAATACTTCAACCACAGTAAATACTTTCTGACACAAGTGAAATATTTCAATATGAGGCTTCAGGATTAAAATGGCCATGATGTCCGTTACCTCTTGAAGTGTCACTTTGTCAAATTTTGTAATGCTGAAACTGCAAATCTCAATGTGTTTTGTTGGGATATTTTGACTTTTTAACCCCTAAATAAAATTAGAATTTATTTTATTAGTATACTGAATCCATCTGTGTGTAATCTAAAGAGTTTAGCAAACCTGTGTGTGGAAAACTTAACACAGCACATCAAACTGAAGTATGTCTATTTAAGACATAATTTGGAGCTGGAACCATTAAGGAACATCTTTGGGAAGATTTAAAACTTGATGTTGTTGTTTATTTATATCAAAACATTTCTTATAAGACTTTTGATTTACCATTTTCAAAATAAATTCAGTTACTATTGTCTAAAACCCTCAAAAACTGTATGTATTGTTGCAACTGCTAGTTTAGTTTTGCCGTTTTTTCCACCATTTGTTCAAATGGCATATCATAAATTTGAAAATATAATTAAATGTAGTTACTGTGTACAGTTTAGTAATACAAAACACATTTATTAATGCAACTAGTTGTCTAAAGAGCTGAATGACATATGGGAAACAGTATTTGGGGCTGATTGCTGTCCCCTAGTAATAAATTATTTTTATTGTCACTTTTCTTGTCATCACAGTAATACCACAAAATTTTGTGATAAAACCTTAAGTATCCCCCATGTGTAAAGTTAATCAAGACATACCTTGTAAAATTTAATTTTCCTTTTCTTGATTTTGTGTCGAATTATTGCATAAAAACCAAATAAATGCACTGAAGTTTGTTGCTATTATGTAAAAAAAAATGTGAAAAAGCTGAATTGACATACACACTTGTGAACACACTTTGTGATGATTTATTAATGTGACAATAAAATGATGTGTTAAAACTCATTAAAATGTGTCGTTCTTGTCTCCAGGTGGTGACTGCAGCTCCAGGCCCTGATGTGGTGATCGACTACACCAAGACGGATGCCTGGGCTGTGGGGGCAATCTCCTATGAGATTTTCGGACAGCAGAATCCTTTCTATGGAGCTGCGGGATTGCACAGCACAAACTACCAGGAGAAGCAGCTGCCTCCTCTTCCTGCCTGTGTTCCAGCTGATGTCCAGTTAGTCACTAAACTGCTACTCAGGAGGAACCCAAACAAGGTAAAAGCAGGTTCCTAACTTAACTGAAGGATAAGTTAGGACCAAAAAACAGCACAAATAACTGGAACCTGCACTGAATGCATTATTCTTCCTCTGCAGCGCCCCAGTGCTCGTGTTGCAGCTAACATGCTGCATCTCAGCCTCTGGGGTCGCAAAGCCCTGGGTAATCTGGACAGCGCTGGCATGAGAAAGCTGGCTGATTGGCTGCTGTGCCATTCGGCTGTGGTCCTCCTGCAGGGCTGCAGCGGCCCCAGTGGGAACAGAGTGGAGGCGGAGCTTCAGAGGAGCTTCCTGTCTAACCTAGATCTAGAAGAGCTGCGCGCCGCTGTAGGCTTCCTCCTTTATGGGCAAGATCAGAGCAGGGCCTGCATCATGTTTCCATAAATTCACTCAAAACTCAGAAAACTCTTGTGTGTTTAGTTAATAAGCTAGTATAAGTGTAGTGCTGTTAGTGTTATGCATCGTTTTACCAGTTGCAAAACTGCAACTGGATTGTATTATCCTTCTTCTGTGCGTTGTACACAATGTCCCACACAAGTCTTCAGTTGTGTGTCACTTAGCATATATCCATTTCTAACTAGTGCTCTGCATTTAAATCTCAGGGTAAAAGACATCAGTGTCTCTGCATCAGTTTTTCTTAATGTAATTCCCCCAAAATGAATTGTCGATAATAGAGAATACTGATGGCTACTTGTAGTTGGGTTGTTAAAGATGTAAGATCTTTTATTTATTTTTTTAATACTTACAAGAGAGAACCACAACACATACAGTAGTTTTTAAGCCACAAAGTTGAGGCCAATGCAGATTTTTTAAATTAAAACAATGCATTGCACTTGTTAGGCTCTACTGTGTAGGGTAACGTAGTTGCCATTTCCATTAAACACCTGGTTACCATTAAATGTAGATAGTTCTACATTTTTCTGCATGCTTTCTGAACACAATACATGGAAAAATCTAAAAAAAAACATTTGTTTTGCTGTTTGCACTTTATGTCCAAGTTTGCACATTTGCTGAACTCTAACCAAATATTACAGATGAGGGTGGAGGGAAACTAAATGAAAATACTGAAATTTGTTAGTGTTAAGAAAATGTTTGAAAAATAAAAGAATCTGAAAGTCTGCAAGTCTGATTTTTTTTGTGTGTGTAGAAAAATTTTGTTTTGTTCAAAGAGGGAAGCTGAGTTGATGCTTGAATTCCTGTGCAGATTTCCTATGAAACTTTGTCATTTGCTCAAGCATAAAGCAATGAATAACTGTAGCTGTTGGGTTCACAGAACCAAATAAAAACAAGAAGACTTCAGCTTAGGAAACTTTATTAGAGATCCAATCTGACAGGAAAGAATCTTGTGGTAACCTAATATTTAACTTCAGAATGGCGGAAATGCGCTCATCTTAACTCATCCTCACACTACATTTAATACTCCTCTCCTTCCTCCTCTCCCTCACCCTCAATTGAGTCGACTCCCACCTCTTCATAATCCTTTTCCAGAGCCGCCATATCCTCCCTGGCTTCAGAGAACTCTCCTTCCTCCATCCCCTCACCCACATACCAGTGGACGAAGGCCCTCTTGGCGTACATCAGGTCAAACTTGTGGTCGAGCCTCGCCCAGGCCTCTGCAATGGCTGTGGTGTTGCTCAGCATGCACACAGCCCTCTGGACCTTAGCGAGGTCACCACCAGGAACCACAGTGGGCGGTTGGTAGTTGATGCCAACCTTGAAACCAGTGGGGCACCAGTCCACGAACTGGATGGAGCGCTTGGTTTTAATGGTGGCGATGGCAGCGTTGACATCTTTGGGAACAACATCGCCACGGTACAGAAGACAGCAGGCCATGTACTTGCCATGACGAGGGTCGCACTTCACCATCTGATTGGCCGGCTCAAAGCAGGCATTGGTGATCTCAGCCACTGAGAGCTGCTCGTGGTAAGCCTTCTCGGCGGAGATCACAGGGGCGTAGGTGGCGAGAGGGAAGTGGATACGAGGGTACGGCACCAAGTTGGTCTGGAACTCCGTCAGATCAACATTCAGGGCGCCATCGAAACGCAAGGAGGCAGTAATGGAGGACACGATCTGGCTGATCAGCCTGTTCAGGTTGGTGTAGGTGGGGCGCTCGATGTCGAGGTTTCTGCGGCAGATATCGTAGATGGCCTCGTTGTCCACCATGAAGGCGCAGTCGGAGTGCTCCAGGGTGGTGTGGGTGGTCAGGATGGAGTTGTAGGGCTCCACCACCGCGGTGGACACCTGAGGAGCCGGGTAGATGGAGAACTCCAGCTTGGACTTCTTGCCATAATCCACAGAGAGACGCTCCATCAGCAGGGAGGTGAAACCAGAACCGGTTCCACCCCCGAAGCTGTGGAAGACCAGGAAGCCCTGCAGGCCTGTGCACTGGTCAGCCTGGAGTAACAGAAACATAACGTGAGCCATTTTCCAATCTTACCACAAATTTTTGTTTGGATTTTGGTCTCAACTTTGAATGTAGTTTGATATAGTCCATATAGAGGTGCACAAAACTGATATTGTGATTTATTTTTATTTTTTTTCCAACCCTGCAATATATGTTGTAGTGCCCAGTATTAACATCTGCTGCTGTGAGACTCTGGCTGAATGTGACATAAGTTTGAAAATGCAGTTTGAAGGTATTTGGAAGATATTAGCCAAAAATGATTGGGCTCCCAAAAGTCTTTACAATATGAATATTGCACACACTGTAATTGTAATAGATTTGTGAAATATTGTGCAGAACTAAGTCCATCCTATACAGAATGGGATTTACACCAACTAAGTCATATAGGAGGATTTTGGATTCGGGACCAAAATATTCAGCTTTGGTCTCTCTGACCAACGGATTTGTCTACCCAGGCTGTGGAATCTCTGCAGCTTAGGTGGTTGCTTCTCTGATTAATGCTCTCCTTGTGGGATCTGTCAGTTTTGCACTGGGTTTATTTTTGGCAAATCAAACTAAAAAGGTCTGAACACAAATGCATGCCACACTTTTCAAATTTTTATTTGCTAAAATTTTTTGAATACAATAAATTATTTCCCGTCTACTTCGCACTTCAAATAAAATGCTTTATTAAATTAGGGAAATTCAGGGACTACTTTGTCAAGAGCCTGCTTTGTAAAATTGACTCACAAGTTTGCGGATCCTGTCCAGAACCAGATCGATGATCTCTTTTCCGATGGTGTAGTGTCCGCGGGCATAGTTGTTGGCAGCGTCTTCCTTCCCAGTTATCAGCTGCTCAGGATGGAACAGCTGGCGATACGTCCCAGTACGGACTTCATCTAAAGAGATAAATGCAATAAGATAAATTCTCCAGTTTAATCAGTAAATAATGAGACATTAATATTTGTGGAATTTACCAATGACAGTGGGCTCCAGGTCCACAAAAACAGCTCTTGGGACATGTTTTCCAGCTCCAGTCTCACTAAAGAAGGTGTTGAAAGAGTCATCTCCACCGCCGATGGCTTTGTCGCTGGGCATCTGTCCATCAGGCTGGATCCCATGTTCCAGGCAGTACAGCTCCCAACAGGCATTGCCAATCTGGACACCAGCCTGACCAACGTGGATGGAGATACACTCACGCTGGAAAGACAAAGCAAAAAACATTTTTCATTTTCACCAAAGGAGACCGTTTTTCAGAGAAGATTGTTCTGAGGTCAAGGACAAGAACTCGTCTTTCTCATGCCATGCATGTATTTTTCTCTGCTTACTTCAATTTTTATTTTATTTTATTTTTTTACAAAGATAGCAATTTGTTAAAATTGTGAATCTTTTTGTTTGTTTTTTGCTTTAAATAAAGCAGTGCGTTTTGTGCTGCGACACCAAAGTGTCAATTGCTCAGAGGATTACTGTAGAGAGAGGATTATCTAGGTCAGACGTTGCAGTGTGGTGGCTGGGAAGCTCCTCTCTGCTCAGCCTGTTTGCCATTGGATTCCTGCTGAAATAGATTTTATTTCTGGTGACAAATATATACATATTTCACCCAGTTTTGTAAAACTGCTTTTTAATTTTTAATGGATTGCATTTGGTTAAGTGTTGGATTTATTTAGTGTACATTTACATAAGGACGCCTTACAGGCATAGACAACCAACCTGATAACTAGTTAATAAAACATGGTGGTTAAAGAAAGGCATGCTGATTTAGAACAACCCTTATATAAGTGAAATATTTCAGACAAAACTGAAATACATATAATAATATATTTATTATAAGGATTTTACCTATTCAGATCGTCAGCAGGTCGAAAAATGTATCAAGACAAAGCGCAATACAGAAATGGCCTACGTTCCTTAGATTAGACCTTAAAAATAGCAGCTTTGCAAATAAAACGTTTGCAAAGAAAATGTAAGGCATGCTTACCATGTTCTCTTGTCGATGTTATGCAATGCAATGACACAGGTTCGGAGGAGAATGTGCGTCCGTGCTGCTCTGTGGATGAAATCTGCTTTGGTGACGCACCGCACGCGTCCTCAGGGAGGATACAGAGGCGCGCGCACCATCCACCACCACCCACACAAACCAGACATCAACCTGCATGAATGATGCGCAGACAGGGAGACGCAGCCGATCCGAGGAGGGTATCTGGTACAGAAACATTTGGCATGAAAATAAATAAACAAATAAATCAGAAAATGGTGGATGGGCTAAAGATGAGGAGGTGCGCCATTTTATTGGGAAATTAGGGGACATCCAGGGTATGGATTCTTTCAACACATTGCCCACATCCAGGTGTAGTGCCACCAGATGATATGTCAAGATATGTATCAGATTGTTTATATTGTTTTATTATTATTTTTTTTTAACGTCAGACCAAAATGACTGAACCCTTTTAGGAAACTGCCTGTGCCATCCTTAAAGCATTTAGATATTTTTTCTCCCACGCTTTTTTGCAGGATAGTTTCAGCCAAATTGGAGGGCTATTAAGCACGAACAGCCTGTTTAGGGCTCTCCATTTCTCCAAATAATCAGAGTTTAACGAGGCCACCCACAAACAGTTTTATTTTTTCATTTAAAAACCACGATTCTCTTGCTGCTTAGAGTTAGTAATAAAATGATTTCCGGCCACACTCCATCGGGCTTCTATAGTAGGATGCAGGATTTATGGAGTATGGCACGCTGAACATGTAGAATGTTTTTTATTATTATTATTACCAACCTAAAAATCACAAACTGTAATGTGCAGTAGATGAACTCTGATCTGAAGTGAGGCTCCTCCCACAGCGCGCCTCCCTTCTGAAAAATATGACCTTTTGCTGCATTCAAGCTCCCAAGTGCGTTGTATTTTTAATGCTCACAAGCACAGGATTAATGATTTAAAAAATCTATCTGCCAGCTGCTGTGACATACATTGTGTTTCTTTATTCGGATGAATACCTAACATGTACACGGTCAGTTAAATTTTAACTGCATATTATAGATTCTTGTCATGCAGTTTGACGCATAAATGATTACGAGCTTATAAACGTAGCAGAGTAGGTGGCCCTTTCACACATGCCATAATTTGCTTAAACATCAGACATGTTTTCATTTTGGAGAAACTTAGGTTTAACTCGTGCAGCAGGGGTTTTCTTTGCCTTTCCCCGACAAGCTTTGGGTCAGTGCAGGAGCCGAACTGGAGGGTGCTTAATTCCGAACCGAGACAGCTCCGGGAGCCGATATAATGTTCCACCGAGCGCCGAGTTTGTTGCACGGGTGTCTGGGATCTCCACCATGGCCAAGTTACCTTATCGGGAGACGGCCGACGGGCTGGACGCGGCGTTCATTGGTGTTCCGATTGATACTGGGACTTCGAACCGGCCAGGGGCAAGGTGCCATTGTTCCTCCTCTGGTGGTCAAACTTAGAAAGAGTGTCATTAGTGATTTACAGTAGTTATTTACATGTAGCTGACTGCTATTGCGTAATATGACGTCGGTCTTAAGTTTTTTATTTTTATTTTATTTTTTTTTTACTTACTGCAGCTTTAAAGAGAATTTAAATATCTAAAAAAAGAAAAAAATAACGATAAAGTTGAACCCATCAAGGTATTATTGGACGAATATATAAACAAACTAACTTTAGCATCAAATAAAATAATGTATTACATTCATTTGTCATCTAATTGCTTTGAATCCATGAAGGATGAAGGAGTTCCAAGATTATCCACCTTTATACATGAAAGTGTGCAATACTGTGAAAAGTATTTGCCCCCTTAGAGATTTCTTATTAATTTTATAGATAATCAAACTAGCCTGAGTGCAGTTGTCAAATAATAATTTCCTAAACCAGCCAGGTCCTAATAACTGCTCGTCTCACCCTAGGCAGCAGTAAAACTCATCATTCGTGTTTTTGATTACTGGCAGTGAGCAGAGGGATTTTGGCCCACTTCTATTTGCAGAATTGCTGTAAGTCAGCTACAGTGGAGGATCTTAAGCAATGAACAGCCTGTATAAAGTCATCCTAAAGAATCCTAATCAGAAGTCCAGACATTGACTAGGCCACTTAGTGTGCTTCAGATTCAGTTTTCACAAATGTCCAAGTTGTGTTAGAAAACTTTTGTCCCCTAATCTTTTTGTACTTACTCAGTCCACCTTTGTCTGATATTAAAGTTTGCTTGATGATTTGAAACAATTAAGTGCAAAGAAAAACAAAAACAAACTAAAACCCAACGTGCACGGGGTTTGCAGGGTAACAAATTTAACTGCATGTATTAATGCCTACTCTTTTCACACACTCTACAGGTTTGGTCCACGCCAGATCAGAGCAGAGTCTGCCTTGCTGAGGGCTTACAACAGTGGCACCAGGGCAGCGCCTTACGAGTCCCTGATGGTTGCTGACATCGGGGACGTAAACGTTAACTTGTACGATTTGAAAGACACCTGTAAGCGCATCACGGAGGCCTACAGAAAAATCCTGGCCACTGGCTGTATCCCTCTGACTTTGGGTGAGAGCAGCTGAGATCACATATATCAACTGTTTGCTAAGTAAATGATTTAGCGCCTGGAGACAAAGTCTCACCCCTGTGTGCAATAATTAATTATCTAGTTCTTTCATAGCTCAGATGTTAAGCAAATGTTGGTTTCTGCAGGTGGCGATCACACTATTGCGTACCCAATACTGCAAGCTGTAGCAGAGAAGTAAGTATCCATCATTAGAAAGAGGAACATGATTGAGATTGTCAAAATTCAAGATTCTTCAACCAAAGTGTACATATAGTTATTAAACAAAAAATTGAGAATTTAAACCCTAATTGAGCTTTCGATTACTTATCCACGTTCACCATCCCGTTTTAGGTACTTAATAGAAGAGAAATTATTTTTCCATTTGGGTTTGATGCAGAACAGAAGCAGCCCAGTGAGTTGTGGTTCTCGTTGGTTATAATTTCATTAAACATAATCTTTTATGGTCTGTTTTCTGTCAGGTAGATATTTCACTCCAGGCATTCCTAAGGACCTGGCAGCATATATTGTTCCAAAACCTTGAATCAAAATGACTATTGGTGTCTTTGCAAATATGTGTCTTGGCACTTCATCCACACCATAAAAGTTGCTGAACGTCTTTTTTTTCTCTTTAGCTAAGTGGATTTAGTCTTGTTGGCATAGAGAAATGAATTTCAGCTTTTAGATTAATCAGTGCAGTTTCAGGTTAGTTTTCCACCTCCAAAAACGTGTTTAAATTCTTTACTGATATGTAGCTTTTTCCTGGCATAGTAGCTGCACAACAAAGTTCTCCTGAAACAGTCTGTTTTTAGTTAAAAGGCTAATGATAGAGATTTATTTTAAGCAGGTATATTTGTTTTTGAGGCAAAACTGTCCTTCTAGTAGTTCTGCAGAAATGAAATCTGAAAACATAAAGCTATGATTCTCATTCCAGAATCATGGATTCTAGAAAGTTCTAGAACAGAGATATGCAACCTGCATTTCTGCCTCCAGTTCAGCCGATTAAAACACGTTTAGAGCTGCAAATATAACGAGACCTTTTTATTTTTTTTTTTAAAAAAAAGGCAGTTTATAGTTTTTGATAAATGCTGTCAATACAAAATGTTTTTATTTTTAAAGAACCACCATAGATCTTAAAATGAATAAAAGCATTAAATGTTTGCAAACAAAAGAAGAATGCATAGGAGGAGAGTAGGAGTGTAGAATGAGGTTTGTGACACATAGAGATTATGTTTTTAGATCTGTTTTGATTTCTGGTGTGTGTATGATCATGTTTTTGCATAAGAAAAAATGTACTGTTGTGGAATTTGCGTAAAAGTTGCAGAAGCTGCTTTCTGCTTACAACAAGATATAATAATTTTCATACATTAAAATCATTTCCAGAACCACATGATTCCAGATTGAATCATGCGACCCTAAAACATTAATAACAGATAGATAAAATATGTCTATTAGATACTCCACATTTAGTTGTCTGTGTAATAACTTGTCAGGCATGGCCCTGTGGGTTTAGTCCATGTGGACGCTCATGCAGACACCAGTGACGTGGTTCTGGGGGAGAGGATCGGCCACGGCACCCCGTTCAGACGCTGTGTGGAGGAGGGGCTCCTGGACTGCCAGCGGGTGGTCCAGATCGGCCTGCGAGGCAGCGGGTACTCAGCGGACTCGTACGAGTGGAGTCGGGCTCAGGTACAGTCTGGGTTTCTGTTACATGGTGCTGGTTTCACACCATACCCAGTGACAGTGTTAGAAATGTCACACTGCGTAGTTAATGGTTTGGAACCTGTAACCAGTCAGTTCACGGCTGCACTGTGGTGAAAAGTGTTTGGAGCTTCTTCTGTCACTTCTTCCTTCCTTTTATTGTTGTTCCTTACTTTCTTCCTTTTTTAAATCATTTCCTTTTCACTTTCTTTCTGTTCTATTCTCTTTCTTTACATCCTTCTATTTATCAAACATTGTTCTTTGGTTCTTTCCATCCTTTCTTCCCTCTTTCTTATCCTTCCATTATTTCAATTTTTTGTCTTCATTTGTTTCTTCTCATTCTTTTTTTATCATTCCCTTTCTTTAAACGTGCTTTTCTCATTCCTTCCATCCATCTGATCTTGATTTGTTACTTCTTTGTTTTCTTCTATCCTTCCCTCAATTCCTCATCTTCTAACTTCCTTCTTTCTAACCTTTTGTGTTTCCTTTGTGTTTTCTTTCTTATACCCTCTATGATTCCCTCCTTCTTTTAGTCTTTATTTCCTTCCTCACCTCCTTCCTTCTTTCTTTTCCTTCTCTTCTTCCTTCTTTTATTCTTCTCCCCTTCTCTCCTTTCTTCCCTTCACCTCTTCCTTATTTCTTTCTAAACTTTTTTTTTCATTCATTTCCTTCTTCTTTTGTAGATTATCTCTTTAAAGCCTTGCCGTGATAGAATGTTGTTCAGTAAATTTATAGTAAACTTTTGTATTTAAACTTCTGAAATCTAGGCCAAAAACAAGCTGAGGATCTTGCTAGTTAGAATTTTGAAACAATGCATGTACGAAAGTGTGTAAGCTCCTTTATTATAATCTGAGGCAGCATTATCAAAATGTCTGCATTCCTCTGCATCATTCACATTGTAAGAATCCTTCACTTTATCACATTTAAGTCACAAAGCAATGAAAACGATCCTTCATCTTCCCATTTTTTCTGACCTGCAGGGTTTTCGTGTGGTCCAGGTGGAAGAGTGTTGGTTCAAGTCTCTCTCGCCTCTAATGTCTGAGGTGAGGGCTCAGATGGGCGTTGGGCCGGTTTACCTCAGTTTTGATATCGACGCTCTTGATCCAGGTTTTGCTCCTGGAACAGGAACACCGGAGATAGCAGGACTCACTCCCATACAGGTAAACACAAGCAGCAGTCATTATAACTTGTCAATAAAATGCTAATTTAAACATTATTGGCTGAGTTTTACCTGTAAGGAGATTCTATTTTTTTTTTTTTTTTACATCTAATACTAATTTTAAGAAACCAAAGATAATAAATGAAGGCTGTACTTTAGCCCTTTAATTTTACACGTTTTCCTGTCTTTAATTGGATCGATAGATCGATCCATCTATTTAGAATCGTATAAGTTGACAAAAGTATTTTTCTCATAAAGTCACTGCTAGTTGAAATATGTTTTGATATGTTTTTCTTTTCTCAGACACTGAAATCATTTTTTAAAATCTTGAACTTAGGGAGTTGAGATTATCCGAGGCTGTCGGGGTCTTAACCTTGTTGGATGTGATCTAGTGGAAGTTTCTCCACCTTATGACACTACAGGTACTTTACACAATCGATTCTTAAAAATAATTGAAACATTAAAACTATTATTAGTTTTAAAGTATTTTTTGTAGCTTTTTTTTTTTTTTTTTATTTTTTTATAAATAACCTTGTTATATCTACTTTCATTCTCTTTAACAGGAAACACAGCCTTGACTGGGGCCAACCTCCTCTTTGAAATGTTATGTGTTTTACCAAAAGTGAAATACTACTGACCTGGATGTAATATTTGGTGCTGCTTTTTAAATTTTTAAATATTATCAAAGGTTAACTTGGGTGCAATTCTGTTTTAAAAAATAAATTTTCATTTCCGATCCAGTCTTATTTGAATTGTAATTAAATGTTATACTTTGATAATTACATATATTAGCAATTTAACATGAGCTGGAGCTCTTTCTCCTGTAAAGAACCTTAAAGTGACATTTGTTGGGAATTGGCTAATAAAATAAACTGAACTGGACTTAATGGAGATGTTTAATGCTAAGAACTTTATTTTATGTTAATTTATTCCTGAATGTGACAGGGTCTGTAACATTGACAAAGTTCTAGTTGCATTCTGTGTTTTTTCTTTTCTGAATTAAAAAAAAAAAGATTTTATATACACGTAGCTACAGAAAAAGTTAGAACTTGTGGAACCAGAAAAACTTAAAAGCAGTGAATCTCAAAATTAAGAGAGTGTAATTTGTTGGATTTTTATCAGTGCAGCAAAATAAACGTGTCATTTTATTGCAGTCAAATGATGACACAATAAAAAGAAAAGTTTGACTCATCCTCACCAAAAATGCCAATAACTGTGGACTTTATTTCACATGTACCTACTAATCATCTTTTGCCATTTTATTATTAGACAGCAACGTACAAGGAAAACCTGTTGGGTTGTGTAAGGGTTAAAACACATATATTTGAAACACTTACTTAGTGTCAATATGCTGGAAACAATAACAGTTTGTCCTCTTTTTCCTTTATTTAGCTCTAGATTAGAATTAACACCACAAAGAATAAAATTATACAGCATTCAGTATAATTAAATGTGCATCAGGCTCTAAGGGCGTTGACCTTGTGCGACAGGGGAAGGCAATCATTCTTTGGTACATTTGTTTTCTACAGCTGCACTGGTTGGCAACACGCACTGTACTAAAGTTACATTGACTGCATTCGGGTTCTGAACTCTTAAAACCCAACGTCATCTTAGACTATTTAGAAGCAAGAAGGAACAATAATTTAAATAATATATTTAGATTAAGTATCAAGTAAGAAATTTACCCTGCTGCAATTATTAACCAATAATGTTTCTGTACCATCAGAGGGGCTTAGACAATGCTGCCAATAATTGCAAGCAGGACAAAACAAGCAGGCGGCATTGTTTATCCCAGAGTTACCAGTTTATTTAACATTTTTGGAGCATTTTTCCACATCTTTGCTGCCAGCTGAAGGCAAGGGAGGAGTCTCTAAATCAGACCGCTGTGGTCAGAAAGATGCTTTAAGAATGCGCTCACAGTCAAAGAAAGGTTCACTCCAGAAATGAACTCTCTCGAATGTCCAAGAGTGTCTGAGAAAGGCAGACAGGAATTCCAGCTCTGAAGCATGCAGCTAACTTGAGTCAAGATATAGTTTATATTTATACTTGGCTTCATGTTAAAAGCAACACTGCTCCAATTATTTTTTGCAGAAGGTCTTGTATATTCCTAAGCTCCTGTGATATGACGCTGTCTTTTCATTTAAGATGTATGAACTATGTTGTATTGGAAGCATTACGTTTGTACTTTGACCATAAAGCCAGATGGTGGAACACTGACTGAATTCCAGCCCAAGTTGTTATTAGCCTTCTCTGTTTTTGTTTCACCTTACTTAGTGAGCAAAGGAGAGTCACTCCTCTCCTCTTCTATTTAGAGCTCCTCTTAATTGGCAGCAGCTGTCCTTTTTAAACTTCAGAGTGATTCAGGAAGCTTCCTTATACAAAATAAACAAAACAAAAAACAGATGCAACCATCCAGCTGACAGCACTCAGCAGTTTTTCCTGCAAGTGGTAAATGTTGAGGACATGCAACACAAAGCCTTTCATTGTTCCTCAGTTTTTGAAATTTAACTCTTCCCATTAATATTTAACTGCTTTGTAATAAGTCTCAGCAAAACGTTGTGCCAGCAGAGGGCGCTCAAAGCTCAAAGTATTCTGCTCTTACGATTTTTAAATTCTGCTGATATTACAAATTAAACTGGTTTTAATGGCTGATTTATTTTATTTTTTTTACATTTTGAAGCTTTTTAACTATTTAAGACTTTATACAACACTTACTTTGGGTGACTTTTGGGGACCTTAGAAATATGCTGCCAGAGGGTGTGGAAAGCATGAGAGAAAGTAAGGAACAGGTTTATCACATGGTGTAAAAGCTGTTGGTATGTTTAGGGTAATGCTGTAATGTTTGCTTCAGTCCCACGAGTGAACTGCTATTTCAGATTAAATATTGGACAATCTATACATAATCTCTGCATTAATGCTCAACCTTATCTCTGATAAAAATGAGTCTTAATTTTTATCAAGGTAAAATAAAAGAAGAAATGAAGCAAAACAGCTTTATTCCTCCATATCTGTTAGTGTTATTGGTATTATTCCTCTATAACTGTTAGTATTATTGCAAAATAATAGTAAAGTATTTCAACAATATTAACAATTTTTTCAGTTGAGTGTTATCGTCACTGTGATTATATTTATACACAGTAACTTAGTCAAGCAGCCAAAAGGCCGATGGTAACTTTAGGGAGAGATCCAAACCTCGGGTGAACAACGCTGGTGATCCACAAATCCAGCTGATTAGTGCATGTATGGACTGTCAAGATTTTATGCAAGACTGACCACTACCGGATATCCTTCCTGTCCAGCATCACCACCCGCGACTCTTTGAAGAACCCTGGATTATGAGTTACGAAGTTTAATTTCCTTTTGGGATAAATGTTTTACTCCATTAAAATCTGACAGAGGTTGAAGGATTTTGCAGTGGAGAACTGAAAACATATGTACAAAGCTTATAGAAACATATCATTGCCCCAATACACAAGCGTCACACTTAAATATTATTTGTGATGATTTGTGGTTTAAACAAAAACATTCACAAAAGGTTTACGGATCTGAATTGCGCAAAGCACGGCACTGCATATGTGTGGACTGGAGTTTTCTTACGACTCCACTCATGTGAGAAGAGTGTGGTCACCGTGTAAAAGAGCCAGCGTGGGTCTAGGTGGCGTCTCCCCCACGCTGGGATTAGCCGTCCTTCTCTTTCAGCCCTCGCTGAATTCCATTCCGCCTTTTACTTTCTCGGCTTCCCTCTCTGCGCTCCGGAGGACTTCCCAGTGACTTTGCGTGGCCGCATTCAGCCCCACTCTGACTAACTCAAAGTCCCAAAGTACTGCTGCTGCTGCTGCGCAGGAAGGAGAAGAAGCAGTTTGGAGGTCTCGACATTTGGCGTGTTTCCGCAACCTTCCCCCTCTCCCCTCTTCCTTAGGGAAACGAGCGCGAGCAGGGAATAGTTTTTACCTGTTGATGAGGTCCCACGGGTGGCAGAGGAGCAGGCGCATACAGTGTGAAAAAAACTCGCTCCAGCACCGGACCGCGGGAAGCGAGTAAAGGACCTCGGGATTTTTTTTTCCTTTTTCCCCCAGCAGAAGCAGCCTTTGCTGGGTTGGTGGAAAAATGGGCTCTCCGACCTCCTGGAGCTGTGGACTTATGGTGTCTTTGATACTCGCATGTCAGCTTGTTTCTGTAAGTGAACTCCAACTTTTATCTTTTGCACTTTTAAGCACTTCGCTGGACAGATTCAGATAAACAAAACATATTCCCCTCAGGTCAAAGTAACACATTACTTCCTTTATGCCCCCTGCGGGGAAAGAAAATGGTGTTTTTGATTTATGTTTTTATTTATGTTGCGTCAGTGGCGCATGCAGGTGGGCTGTAAACTCTTACCAGCATGTTCTGTAGAGATGCGTTTAGAAGTAATGGGACAAACCAGAACCCGAGTGAAGCCGGGCTAAGTTTGTCCATAGAAACAAGCTATTCATAGTCTCCCCTGGAGCGCTGGAGCTTCTCAAACTTTCTTCGAGCTACACTCTCTGTTTTCTGCTACGTAAGAGAAGATTGTGATTTTAAAAAAAGCATGAACTAATCAGATTCCGTATGATTCTTTTAATTTTGGTGCCTGCAACAATATTCCTTCAAAATAAAACCTCCCCAAAGTATGGAGAGCTATACATGCCACAATGTAACACATGATGAAAAATATTTTACAATTAGAGGAGAATGCTTTTTAATAAATAAATTAGCATATATGTTATTGCTCATTTGAATTTCCATAAGTAAATCATAAAAAGTGAAAAAAAAAATCCTGAATTGAATTTAAATTCATTCATTCATTCATTCATTCATTCATTCATTCATTTAGAATGTTTTTTACCATTTAATTTTTGCTGAAATGCACCTCTAATCTAAACTGTAGGTGCAGCTTATCATGTATAACCTAATATTTGGAAAAATTAATGTTAAATTTTAAGTTGTTAATTTATTTTTAATGGTAATGGTGATTAAGGAAACATTTTTTATATATGATGCTATGCTATTCTGTTTCAATGAATACCTCCTGAAATTTCTTACAAATTATTGCTCCTCCCAACCTGCACCTCTTCAATCTATGTTTTATTCATACATCTTCTTAATTCATTAATCTAATCATAAATGTCTTGCACAAGTTGGAGCAAATAAATCTGATTTAAATTTAAACTTGCCAAATGAGGAACTGCTTGAGTAAATCATTTTGTGCTTCATTTTTAATTACTGAAAGTACTAATGGATCAAAATGTAGACATACAGTTTCACTTCCAGTAGGCCACCCATGCACTGTGGAGTGACTTATTCTTGACAAATCACTGACATTACAGTCTAAGAACCCTGCTGTCTTCACTCCTCTATATCTGTTGTATGAATCATATAGCATATGACCATCGCCTTGGAGTTGAGAATAGCCTTCCCCCCACTCTTTGCAAACCCTGTCTGTCTGTTCTCTCACCTTTGCGCCCTCTAATAAAAAGAGCTGTGATGAGGCGGTGTCCGTGTCACCTCTGCATCGATTTGATCTGAAGTGAAGCTTTTCTCAATGATTTGATGCCATCTTGTTGGCAAGCATGCATAAATCTTTCACATTCCTGATCCAGAGCATTAAGCCACCGGTATGTCCAGAGTCGAGAGGGTACAGTGGGATGCATTTGAGTGCCACATTTCACCTCCACAAATGAAACGCTCAGCTTCAAGCTATGTATCCTCTAAAATATCATCAAACCACTCAAATTCCCCAGTCTCCACAAGTCTGTCATCATGTGCTGTGTGCTGACAGTGGAGGGTACCACAGCTGTTATTAACAGCTTGGTAAACAATAGCAGCATAATTCAATTAGCTGGAACCGCAAGCATCTGTTTCTTGCATTAGGACTTTGAACT